ACACACAGGAGGAGGGGATGACGAGACACACCTGGGAGCAATAAAACCAAGGGAAACACCTGGGACAAATTAAATAAACTAATCAGGACAGGAACAGGAAACTAACCAAATAAGGGCATGGGAAGGCACATGGGGAGCAGGACACACACAAAACATGGAACAGAGTCTGACAACATCTTAGCTATTTCCACTCAGGACAGAGATCTACAACCAGACTTTTTCTACATATCTAAATTGCATAAGATCATTTTAAAATGATGCTAAGAGGACTTCTAACCAAACATCATTCCATTGCATAACTCAGTATCATGTCTGTAACCCGCATATATGACTATAATGTATTAATCACTCATTGTTTATATCCTTTTGAATACCTACTGAATAGTTTATAGCTTTATATGTGTGTTTGGTATATGTGTGAATGATAATCCATGTCTCAAATGTTGATATCAATCAGTTGTTCGTAAAATGTATCATATTCTCATTATATAAATTATATCTAAATTATACTCTGAAAGAGCGAGAAAATTCAAGAGATGCGACTAATAAGATAGCGTGTTGATTTTGTATGGGGAGGAGAAACATAGTAACACCTAAGCTAAAACAATGTCTACTTGGTCAGGACACTATTATTGATTTGTCCAACAGCCGGGTTTAAAACTCATGACACAAACAATTCATAAGCTTCTGGGCATTCTTTTCTTTTTCCTAACATTTTCAGACCTTTTCAGATCCATGCCCTATGCAGTGCAAACAAAAGTAGCTGAGCAGTTAAATCGTCTACAAAAGTAGCATATCATCTGACCCGTAAAGTACTCGGAGTGTGCTGCAGCAGTGGTTCCGATCCTGAAGGCTGATGTTTCCATAAGGCTCTTTGGTGACTATAAATTGATTGTTAATCGAGTAGCATCCTTAGATCAGTACCCAATACCCCTTTTGGAGGATCTGTGCAGCACACTGTCAGGAGGTAAAAGATCTCTAAATTGGACCTGAGTCACACCTACCAGCAGGTGGTGGTGGATGAGGAGTCTCAAAAGTAAGTGACAGTGAACTCAGGTCTGTCGAGGTCTGTTAACCGGTTACCTTTCAGAATGGTATCAGCCCCTGCTATTTTTCAAAGAATAATGAAAGGTTTGGTGCAGGGAATTCCCTAGGTAGCAATTTATTTGGATGATATCTTGATCACAGGCATGGATATGGCAACCCACTTAGAAAACCTGGCAGCAGTGTTGCAAAGGCTCAAAAGAGAGAAGTTTTTGTCCTTGCAGGATGACGTTGAGTATCTTGGTCATAAAGTAAACTCTCAAGGTCTCCAACCCATAGAAAGGAAAGTGAGGGCCATAGTGGAGGTCCCATCTCTTTCTAATGTGTCAGAACTGAAGGCCTACCTTGGGTTATTAAACTACTATGGAACATTTCACCCAAATCTAGCGACCTGCTTGGCATTGCTGTATGAAGAGGCCTTCCAGCATTCAAAGATGCTGCTGGAATCTGCAAATATCCTGGTATATTATTCAGCAGGTAGAGATCTGGTTTACTAGTGCTTAGCTAGCTTAGCTGCCACACACTTACAAACATCCACCAAGTCACAATCCTCCACATTTGACGAAGATCACCACTCTGCGTGCTCAAGACAGGCCAACCTTAATGGTATGTCTGTGAACTGGAGCAGTGCAGCTTAGGTGCTGAAGGAAAGTCTTCATGGGTAAGAGATCAGGAATGCTGTTTCAGGGATCACAGTGGTATATATAGAAAGTGGTGCTTCCATAGTTTATCACACCTGAGGCATTTCCCATAGTGAGATACCAAGTGATTGTTTGCAAGAGAACCACACAAGAGAGGAATGCAATCAGTCATTTAGTAATAACTACGGTGGCCGAGAAGTGCAAAGCAAATCACAATTCTGAAAACAAAATAACAATTACAAACGCAAATGCAAGTCTAAAAAACAAAATAACAATTCAGAAAACACAACAACAATTCAGAAAACATTATAACAAGTCAGAAAACACAATGACAAATTCGAAAACAAAATAACAAGTCAGAAAACACAACGACAATTCCGACAAACCGGAAGAGGTAAGTATAGTTTGAGACAGCGCCATTGGTTTGGGATTACTCACTGCTGACTGGTCGAGACATCTGTCAATCAACGTATACAGGGAAGAACCAGCCGAAGAACAGCAGAGTCGTGGTAGAAAGTTCGGAGATGGTAGCTCAGTTTAAATGTATTGTATGAATTGCCCTTACTATGGAATAAAAAATACGGGGTATCTATTTACATTTAGTTAAAATTGGCTGTAAACCATCAGCTCTAGTGGCACAGATGGATAAGCGCTTGTTGTTGGCTTTTTGATGCGATCGACCCGGGTTCGATTCCGCCTTTTGCCAAACTTTTTTTCCCTCCCTTTTCAAATCTCGTATTAGCAATGGATTCCCTTTACACTAAGTGAAAATAGCAGTATTTTTAGCAATATGCTATTTACACTAAGTGCAACTACCAATCAGATTATTGACAAGAAAGCATGACAGGATGTTTATTTTGGGTAAACACTTCAGAAAGTAGTGGCAAAACTTTCTTCAAGATGGTTTATAAATAAATTGTGCATATATATTGAATTTGTACCATCATTGTGTTTTATGACTTTCTTCAATGACACAACTTCCAGTTCAATAACTTTTTTAAAGAGGCTCACACTGTTACAAAACAAGTTGCTAAATATTTATATGACCCTCTTCAACATATCAGAAGTCTTGAAAGTACAAGTATTTGCTCTAAATGATACATTTGCAGCATCTCTGTTTTATATGTTTTTCTTCATAGAGACACCTTCCACTTCAATAACTTTTTAAAAGAGGCTCACACTGTTACAAAACAAGTTGCTAAATATTTATATGACCCTCTTCAACATATTAGAAGTCTTGAAATTACAAGTATTTGCTCTAAATGATATATTTGCAGCATCTCTGTTTTATATGTTTTTCTTCATAGAGACACCTTCCAGTTCAATAACTTTTTAAAAGAGGCTCACACTGTTACAAGACAAGTTGCTAAATATTGATATGACCCTCGTCAACATATTAGAAGTCTTGAAATTACAAGTATTTGCTCTAAATGATACATTTGCAGCATCTCTGTTTTATATGTTTTTCTTCATGGAGACACCTTCCAGTTCAATAACCTTTTAAAAGAGGCTCACACCATTACAAAACAAGTTGCTAAATATTTATATGACCCTCTTCAACATATCAGAAGTCTTGAAAGTACAAGTATGTGCCCTAAATTATACATTTGCAGCATCTCTGTTTTTCTTCATAGAGACACATTCACTTCCAGTTCAATAACTTTTTTAAAGAGGCTCACAGTGTGGTGCAGCGTGTGAGTTTTCAAAAAAATGTCTTTACTTTATTTTTCTCCCTTTTTTGTTGTTAGTGGTTTTCAGTTTTCTTTCTGTCTTGGAGGTGGTGGCTGCCGGCGTAGCTGGTCAGCATGGCTGCGGGAGAGCAGTTTAGTTTTCAGAAGTTAACGCGCCGGCATGCTACTAAATTGTCTCCTCCCGAAGGAGCTTCTGTAGAAGATAGTAGTCTCGCG